CAAAAAGACACCATCCTTATATAACTATTAAGAATATGTTAATGATACACTACCTTAAAAAACCCATCATAAACAATTTCAGCCATTTTAAGGAGAAGCTGGAAAGAGAGCACTGTGACTTTGTATTGTGGGACAAGCCGAGCAGTCTTGCAAACACTCTTGTGAACATTACAGCAACACTGAAGGATTAATGTCAATTGCTCAGTCTTCATGATTCTGGTGATTAAAGAAATCCTGCATTAATACCTGCCCCATATCAAATATTCAAAAAGAACATTAAGTTCAATGAATCCCACTATAAACAAATATATGTACCTTTCTCTGTCTTTCTCGATGCTCTTCAACAAGAGGTTCAGGACCTTTCCAGTTACCTGAAATTCAAAAAACAAACATGAGTTAGTATAATAATGTTCTTTCTGTGGCAAAGGCAACAGCTGTAGCTCAAGTTCCTAATCATGAATGCGTCCTTAATCAAATACCTCAAGGTTTTTTTCTGTGCGATTGGCATCAGTGTTTTTTTCTGCCTCTATGATTCTGCACATTAGACTTTGGATCAGGAGTTCAGGAAAGCTACCAGTCAACTGGACAAACTCAGAAACATCCTCAAATGCCACCAAGGAAAGCCAGCTTTTCAACAATTTAGGGTTGTCTTTGGTCATTGGCAAGTTATCTTTGATCAGCTTAAGGATCATCCTACAAAATAAAGAAAATCACATATCTTATCCTGTTTATTATGAAATGAAAAAGTGCCCTATAAAATTATCCAAACGAACCTCCTTTTGTCTGGGAGTCCTCTGATTCTTTCCCTAAAAGATTGATATGATATGTTTTCAAGCCCTGTCCATCTCTGTTCATCCATAGATGAGCCTGGACCTGCTTCTTTTACTTCTGAATTTCTCAGTAAATGAAGGACAGGAACAAGTAAAACCACTTCTGTGATGAGCTTCTTTGCACATAGGTTCATCAGTCCTGTCACTGTGCTAGAAAGAAACCAAAATCATGATGATTATTGTGGTGCTTAGCAACTTGTAAACATTAATACATATTCATTACTAGAAATGCCACAGCATTCTAGTGTGCATTAGAAGATACAGATAAAATCAATGATCTAAAACCAGATTTGTCAAATAAACCTTACTCACTTGATAAATGGGGCAGTTTGGGTTGTTTGAATTTCTCCAAAGGAACCCATGCATTCAGAGACAACTTGGCAGAGTTTGCCCCAGTCCTTTAAGCTGAGATCGACATCACAGCCACAGCACACCTTGAACACTGATAGGGCCACTGATAGTGCCTCTGATTTGACCCCATCTAAGCTCTCTGATGTCCTAAGAGCTTCTGATTCTTTTTTTAAAATCATTCTTAGTTTAGCAGAAATGAGCTCTGAGACCTACAGTAAAACAATACATTCTGTTGTAACAGGAATTTCAAAAAATAAGTAAAAAGTAACAGTTTATTTATGTGTGTGTCACATTTACTTTTATAGGAAATGGAGTATAATTTCCTGGAAACTCCACGAAGCCTGACTCAAAAGCATTTTTGTAACTTCTTAAGTGTTGCACAAATGTCATGTTGCTCTCCTCATTAGATGGGTGCCATTTAAGAAAAATTCTGTCCAGTAACACATGCGCAGAAGTCTCCCAGCCTTTGTAAACTGCTTTTTGTTCAGAATGAAACAAGCTCATCATCCATTCTGTAATTGAGACTGTGCTTGAACAGCTTATATAGCCTTCATAAAGGTGGAATTCTGGAAAATGCAAAAAAAAAAAATTTTTTTTTTTTAATTTTTACAAAAAAATAAACATATAAATATATTCAGATTTTAGTACCTTTCTCTGTAGTGTAAGAAGGGACCTCAATGTATCTCACTGCTATTTCCGACTTCTGATTTTGCCTCTGCTGCACCACATATTTATATTGAATTGTGCCACCTCTCACTGCACTGTCCTTGACTGAAAATGTTGCCTCAATCAAATAGCCATCCTTTCCTATACTGCTAAACAACAAGAAATGGCCTTAACATTAAAAAAATACACTATGCAATACAACATTTAACATCAGTAAACATCTTCTTGTTCAGTGCTTATTTCAACTTTTACTGTTTGACTACGCTACTTAAAATAGTAAATAATAAATAAATAATATATTTGGTTAAAAACATATTTTGGCAGTTCATTCTGCTGTGGCGACTCCTGATAAATCAGAAACTAAGCCGAAAGATAAAGACAAAGTAAGTGAAACTTATTATTACATACGGTTTAAAGTCTGTATAATGAGAAACTTACTTGAAATGTTTCATCTGAAGTTTAATGTTTCCATTCCCATAATCAAGGAAAAGGGAGTCATATTGTTCATTAAATCTGAATCGTTTGTCCAAAACTGCATAGATGTAAAACGTCAGCATTGGCGGTCCAGCTGGAGCCCTCACTGGAGAAGGTTTTCTGTTACAACAATATTAAAAATTAGAATGCATCAAAGGTTACATATACTTAGCTGAAATATTTATAGTTCTAAGTGCAGCATCACAAACCTCTGAGTACTTTTGCTTTCCATTGTGCTGTCCTGATTTGCTTCTATCTGATTCGTCTGCTCCTTAGACACTTTGTCTGTCTTCCCTGTTGCGGCAGCTGCTGCGTATGATTTTGGCTCTTCTGTTACTGACTTAAGGTCTTTCAGTGAATCTCCACCATAATGTTTATTTGTGTCTTCATTCTTTTGATTATCACCAACTTTTTCCCCACATTCATGTGATAGTTTGGTGCTTTCTTCTGTCTCCTTTGCAGGTTCCCCAATTTCACTCACTTTCCGTTTCTTCCTCTTTACACTTTCCTCCTTTTCCCCATCACTTTCACTCCCTTTTGTCCTTGGCTGCACAGTACCCTCCATCTCAACATCTTCATGACTGAGCTGTGGAGGCTGTGAAACTTCTGCTGTCTCTGTGTTGCCATTGATCTCTGTTTGTGTCTGCTGTGATGCTTGACCGACAGTCTCGGTCTGAGTGTCCTTGTCCACCAACAAACTTGCGCTTGTTTGAGTTTGAGCCTCTTTGCTGAGTGGCCCAGACTCAGTTGTGCTTATGTTGTGCTGACCATGGCTTCTGGATCTGGCCTGGCTTGGGTAACTAGTTTGCTTGCTTTTTGATCGACTCCGTGAATGTGCTCTAGATGAAGATGTGCTACCTTTTCTTTTTTGGGGCCCCTTTTTCTGCAATCTGGAAGATGTGCTCCCATCTCTTTTTTGAGCTCCCTCCTTATTTGTTGTGGATGATGATGTGCTCCCATCACTTTTTTGGCCCTCCTCCTTCTGTGCTGTAGATGATGATGATGTGCTGTCATCTCTTTTTTGAGCCCCATCCTTCTGTGTCGTGGATGATGATGAGCTCCCATCTCCTTTTTGAGCCCCCTCCTTTTGTGTTGTGGATGAAGATGTGCTACCACCTCTTTTTTGGGCCTCCTTCTTCTGTGCCAATGGCTTCCCTTTCTTGCCACTTTTTCTCTTCCTTGTCATTTTCTACCCTATCACAGCTTTTAGCTTCCTGGTTGTTGTTTCAAAAGGTTCAAAAGTCTAATTGTCAAAAACAAAATGTCAAAAATATGTATGATACTGTATGTTACAAATATAAATAAACTGTATGTAACTATTTTATGCATTTTGATTTTTCTGAGGTTTAACATAATCCCTAATCAGAAGTGAGGGACTGCTATTTGCATTATTGTTGTTAAAATTGTTCAAACTACATGACACAAATTCCAGTTTGTTTTACAGAAACAATCCATGATTTACCTACTATGGTCCCAGTACTACAGTTAAAATATGGTAAAGTGAGGTAAATTTTCATAAGTAAACACTGAACATATCATCACCCCATGACATTAATAGTCGATCAAATGTTTTTGCGGTATTTTATGCTTTTCATTATAACGTTAATCTCCTTACCCACAACTTCATTTTAACTTCTTTAAATCAGAAATGACTAAAAGGCAAGTTGTACAGAAACTTTAAATACAATATATAACATCAAAATCTGCATATGAATGCGTATGCAATATTTTACTCCCTATACAATATAGACGTGTTAAACGCGTTTACAACAAACCATTAGATTAAGGTTATCATTACGTACCTGCATTGATCTTTGACATAGTAAAACGATGACAGATAAATGTTTTGGCGAGTCTCTCTCCCTGAAAAGTCATCGCTCTGTCTGCAAACCGAACAAATCCCTTCGGTCCCTCCTCTTCGCCTTTTTATCGAATTCGCTTCTTCAGTTTCAGTTTCGTTTCACCAGCTAGTTTCTACACTGGCCCTTCCCTCATTACAACCAGGGAAACCATGAATCAAGAATATTAAAGCACCCATGTTGACGTTGCTTGGTTTTAAGTTTTTTTTCCGTCTGTATTGGACTCTGATAACGTCAAACTAGATGCGTAAATAATACGTTAAACTGTATTGTACATCAAACATTCGCATAACTCAATTAATGCTTCAAAATGATTCAATATGGTGCGGTTTCTTTATTTCATGCTGAAAGAAGTTTTAATAGCTCGTTTTCTCATCTGCTAATGTTAATATCCACAAACTAGAAACTTTCATTTCATAAGAAATACTGGCATCACGTGGCAGGTAACAATTATTTCATGCTAAATGTGTACACCTGTAGCAAGTAGATTTAATTTGAATGTTTTTAATGTGGTGGATTTATGCAGTAATGCACGCATGGATGTTATGATATGGGTTTTAAAGAGAAAACCTGAACAAATACTTATTTGTCTGTTTTCAGGTGACATGAGTTTAAGAAAAATAAATGCTGAGAGTTTAAAGCAGACTTTTCCATTTGAATTTTATTTTTTAAGGTTTTCAAACTGTATCTACTAAGTTGGTAGTTGCTATACAATTTATTAGTATACAATTGTTAATGCTAAAATTATGTCCTTTAAAAAAATACATATTTAAAAAGATGGGGTGGGCTAGAAGGGACAAATGACTTTGGTACCTATTTCAATTAACTTTAGATAGAAATATTTTAAACTCTATTTGCAAGTGGAAGATGCTCCTTTTTTGGCATGTTTAGAAGAAGTGTTATTCATGGATTCCTTGACACACTGTTTTCCTTCAGGAGACAAGAAACAAAATGTGGTTTATTTAGTATATTTTAATAATAATTACTGACATATTGATTCTTGTGGAATGCAAGTCATGCCTGACAGTGCACGATGACAGTGGTTAAGTATGAAACCTTTGCATGCTTAACAAAGAAAACAACAAAATTGATGTAGATTTGCATACAAATAACATGTCCCACACCTGTTATTTCTCATCAACTTGTATTTTCTTCTTCTCTACATTAATAGCCTCAAAAAACTCAGTCTCTGTTTCAGCCAGCAGTTCCTGTAATTCTGCTCTTCCATCCTCCTCCTCTTTAGGGCAGCTCTGTTTCATTTGATTCCTTTCTTTGTAAAAAGCTTCAAGAATCTTCTCTCTTTTGGTCTCACGTTCAAACATCTACAAAATTTAAAAATCCACATGAAAAATCAATGGTTCAGTGTACCAGGAGGACTATTGGTTTACAATTATATCTCGTTTAAAAGAATAATTCACATGTTTCATTTACTCAAATTTCATGTCAGTAGTAATAATAAAATGTCCACCTCTGAGACAAGTCCCTTCTCATTACTCTGCAGGGTGCACAGGTTTGGTGACATCTTCAGCAGCGTGACTGTTCCCAACTGAGAACCACAGCACATCAAAGGGCTGTCATTTTTTACACGGATACTGTACAGAGTTTCGTCACAAACCTGTGAGAAGAAAAATCTTCATAAATATAAAACGATTACACATTTAAGTGATTTAAGATATTTCAGCATGAGGAAACCATATTTAGGTCTGACTTTGAGACTGAGAACCGGGTCCTTTTGTTTAAGCAATATGTCCCACACATCCAAGGTGCCGTCCATCTTCACTGTAAAGAAGACAGCGGGTCTGACTGGACTCCAACAGCCATCCATCAGATGGCTTGTGTGGTATCTGTAAAAACAAATGTGAAATATTGACTGTTCAAGTAGATGGAAGAAACCACTACCTAAAGGGATTGTTTATGCAAAAATGAAAGTAGTTCCAAACATTTATTGGACATTTTTCTTTTTCGTTCTTTATATATTTTGAATAACGTTAGAAATCGCTAGCCACTGACATCCATAGCAGGAAAGCCAAGTCATTGGCTACGGGTTTACAACATTCTTTAAAATATCTCCTTTTGTGTTCAACAGAAGAAAGTAAGTAATGAAAGAATTTGAACATTTTTGGGTGAACTATCCTTTTAAAACAGTGGTTCTCTTATCTGTAATCTGTGATAAGCCTTTTTTCTTTTTTGTATAGACCATTTTAATGTGGTGATGTCATAAACATTTCCTGCTTGTTATCAAACTATTGCATAATTGTAATAAGAGGCAGTTTAATCATGACTTAACATCATAACAGTGATCATAACATTATTTATCAATATATAGATCTTTTTCGAAAGCTACAGAAATTAAACAACAGGAAATATGTTAGGAACATTGTTATTGTTTACATCCCTCAAAATGGTCCATTAGGATACATTTTTAAAACATTTTACATACAGTCATCCATATGGCAGTGAATGGTGACAAGCATTTATCTTATAGCAAAAGTGTCACAGAATGAGTCCATGCAAGATTATTAAACATGTTTTCTTCAACTTTTTAAACATCAACTGGTGTGCACTTGTGTGTTTTTTTCTTGGTGAGTGAATTTTCATACTATTAAAGTTTAATGAATACGGTTGTGGAGACTATACACAGACTAATGGTCAAATCTTTGATATTAATACATTTTTTGTTTTACAATCAGTTTTGGTTTGTTAACTCTAAATTTGAAATATAATGTATGTGTCACATTCTGTGATACTTTTGGAGTTTAAAATGATAGCTCACTTAAAAAAATAATTTAAGCATTTTTACACACCTCTTGAGTAATTCCCAACCTTTATGAGTTTCTTATTTCTTTTGAAAACCCCTGACATTTTGAAGAAAGCCGAAAACCGGTAAAAACTGCAGGAAAAAAATACTTCTGTAGAAGTCAGTGGTTACCAGTTTCCAGCTTTCTTCAAAATATCTTTTTTTGTTCAACAGAAAAAAGAAAGTTAAATAGGTCTTGAATAGGTCTTTTTTTTGGGCTGAACTATGAAATAGGTCTTTTTTTGGGCTGAACTATATCTTTAATGCTGGTTTCTTTTTACTACTAATATAGTAATAAAATTGTATATTTATATTATAACTAATATAGTGTTGTGATCTGTAAAAGATAGAAGATCATGTGGAAAATGTGGCAAATGGCTGCCTTTTAGGCGAATTAACACTATTAAGATACAGTTGATCCAAATAAACATCACACATGACATACTTTAATGATATAAATACTACTCTGTCTTTCTCACTTGGTCGACATGATGGAAGACAATCTGATGTCCTCTGACCAGATGCGGGCCGTCCAGTCAGCCACAGTCAAGAAGTACTTTGGGAAGAAGGGGTTCCTCTGCACGGCGTAAACTGGGCCAAGGTGACCGCTGTATGTGCAAACAATCGGCTCATCTGTGGTCTCTAACTTGCGATTGCACAAGACCACAAGCCCCTGTTCTGTGCCCACTAAAAATTTGGGCTTGTGTAAACAAAAGCAAACAGTCATTACGTTCTCATTGAGTAACCACAATGGAATTGTCCAAATCACAATGAGACATGTACTATTTTATTACCATAGTGTTGTCAAACTCCATTGAGAATGCACCAAATGCATTGTTAAGGTTTTTGCTCTTAGCGGGGTCCAAAATTAGCTGCTTTGTGGGCTCACTCATATTACGAATGTCCCAGAACAGTACCTGATGTCAAACACACTTCTTTGAATCAACAGTAATATTAATTACTCTGAGAGTTTTGCTAATATGGCTATTCAGTTCAAAGGATGCTGTGAAATACTGCAGGCTTATTTAAGCATTTGTAGACTGTGGTGTCAATGTACACAGACCTGACCATCTGTAGAAGCTGAAAAAGCTTCAGTGCCTATCTTTGTCTGCAGCCAGATGACTTTGTAGACAGGATCTTTATGGCTATGTTCAATAGCGGATATCTGTACTGGTTGGCTGCCACTCCGTGTGTCCCAATAGCCTGGAAATAGAGTATGTTTTCTTACTAGAGCACAGTTAAGATGCAATTTCAGTATTTGAGATGTTTACAATTAATGCCAAACAAACAGCAGACTGTACAATCTGTCAGATAAATTTAAAAAGGCATATTTACCTTATATATTCATGCTTATGACATTCAAATTCAGAATAAAAACCCACCAATCTGTCCATTGTAGCTTCCCCCAATAAGGATGCTAATATTTTTGAGGTTGTACTCTAGACAAACAAGAGGGGATACGGATTTCAGGGTCATCTCCGGCTGTTTGTTGTTTTCTGTAATTGGGAAACCAAAATACACTAATGTAACTTAGGGAAAGATCAGACATCAATATTTGGTGATGGTGGTCTACAGATTTGCTGTGTTTTATAATTTTTTAAAATCTGTATGTTGATAAAATAAATATGACAGTATAAGAAGTGACATACCAATGTTCCATATATAGGAGTCAGAGCTCATGTTTTTGGGTCCTCTTTGAAATTCCACACAAGAGTAGGCCACAGCTAGTTTATGATTATCAACTGGGTGCCAGGACAAGCTGGTGGCTGCACGCTTCTCTTTTTTTGGGTCTCTATGGAAAAATCACACTCAGAAAAATCTACTATCCATACCTCCCTCCCTCCCTCCCTCCCTCCCTCCCTCCCTCCATCCATCCATCCATCCATCCATCCATCCATCCATCCATCCATCCATCCATCCATCCATCTATCTATCTATCTATCTATCTATCTATCTATCTATCTATCTATCTATCTATCTATCTATCTATCCAGACATCTAAGGCAAATCACTTCCAAATGAAATCCAAGTCATCCTATTGTGCTTTAGGGCTCTATTTTTAATGATCTAGGTGCAAAGTCTAAAGCTCAGGGCGGAAAAGCATTAAGGGCAAGTCCCAATCCACTTTTGCTATTTTAAGGATGGACAAAAACGCTCTGCACTGCAGCCCATTGTGTAACAGGGTTGGCCTTATTCTGTTAATGAGTAATAGGTGTGTTTTAAGCATAACGTACATTAAACCAATCAGTTTCATCTCCCATTCCCTTTAAGAGTGATTTGCGTTGTGCCATGGCACATTTGCTATTTACATGGCGGACTTTGTAAGTAGAAAAACTGAACGCTTCACTAGTCAGAAAACAGTTAAACAGACCATCTGCAGCAAGAGGATAAAGAATGAGCCTCCTCCAATTGGCCTTTACTTTCACTTTCATTTTCTCTCTTTTGTGGATTAGGAAACATGTTGTACGCACAGACATCCATTAGCCTACATAATTCATTTTGTTTGTTAAGCCCAAAGATTTCTTTTAAAACTATTTCTAAATTCAGTTCTAATTACCAGCAAATAAACGAACAATAAAAATGATGTGTTATATCCTAATACACATGCAATGCCCCATATGGTCCAAAACCTGACAGGTGGACACATAT